AAGACGAAGAAACAAACGTAGAATCCAAAAGAGGGAATTTATCAGAACTGGAGCAGTTGCCTATAGTAACCAATCAGCTTCCATCATCAGATTGTTCAATAAGGAATATAAAAGGAAAGATAGAAGCTAATTGGTTACTATAGGCAACTCCACGGTCTGTCTGCCCCCTCAGTGTATCTACAGCCAGGTTTTAGGCTCTAGCCTATCCAATCACTAGAGAGCGGTGACATCACTGAGAATGCAGCCTATCCCTTCACTAGAGACCGGTGACATCACTGAGAATGCAGCCTATCCCTTCACTAGAGACCGGTGACATCACTGAGAATGCAGCCTATCCCTTCACTAGAGACCGGTGACATCACTGAGAATGCAGCCTATCCCTTCACTAGAGACCGGTGACATCACTGAGAATGCAGCCTATCCCTTCACTAGAGACCGGTGACATCACTGAGAATGCAGCCTATCCCTTCACTAGAGACCGGTGACATCACTGAGAATGCAGCCTATCCCTTCACTAGAGACCGGTGACATCACTGAGAATGCAGCCTATCCCTTCACTAGAGACCGGTGACATCACTGAGAATGCAGCCTATCCCTTCACTAGAGACCGGTGACATCACTGAGAATGCAGCCTATCCCTTCACTAGAGACCGGTGACATCACTGAGAATGCAGCCTATCCCTTCACTAGAGACCGGTGACATCACTGAGAATGCAGCCTATCCCTTCACTAGAGACCGGTGACATCACTGAGAATGCAGCCTATCCCTTCACTAGAGACCGGTGACATCACTGAGAATGCAGCCTATCCCTTCACTAGAGACCGGTGACATCACTGAGAATGCAGCCTATCCCTTCACTAGAGACCGGTGACATCACTGAGAATGCAGCCTATCCCTTCACTAGAGACCGGTGACATCACTGAGAATGCAGCCTATCCCTTCACTAGAGACCGGTGACATCACTGAGAATGCAGCCTATCCCTTCACTAGAGACCGGTGACATCACTGAGAATGCAGCCTATCCCTTCACTAGAGACCGGTGACATCACTGAGAATGCAGCCTATCCCTTCACTAGAGACCGGTGACATCACTGAGAATGCAGCCTATCCCTTCACTAGAGACCGGTGACATCACTGAGAATGCAGCCTATCCCTTCACTAGAGACCGGTGACATCACTGAGAATGCAGCCTATCCCTTCACTAGAGACCGGTGACATCACTGAGAATGCAGCCTATCCCTTCACTAGAGACCGGTGACATCACTGAGAATGCAGCCTATCCCTTCACTAGAGACCGGTGACATCACTGAGAATGCAGCCTATCCCTTCACTAGAGACCGGTGACATCACTGAGAATGCAGCCTATCCCTTCACTAGAGACCGGTGACATCACTGAGAATGCAGCCTATCCCTTCACTAGAGACCGGTGACATCACTGAGAATGCAGCCTATCCCTTCACTAGAGACCGGTGACATCACTGAGAATGCAGCCTATCCCTTCACTAGAGACCGGTGACATCACTGAGAATGCAGCCTATCCCTTCACTAGAGACCGGTGACATCACTGAGAATGCAGCCTATCCCTTCACTAGAGACCGGTGACATCACTGAGAATGCAGCCTATCCCTTCACTAGAGACCGGTGACATCACTGAGAATGCAGCCTATCCCTTCACTAGAGACCGGTGACATCACTGAGAATGCAGCCTATCCCTTCACTAGAGACCGGTGACATCACTGAGAATGCAGCCTATCCCTTCACTAGAGACCGGTGACATCACTGAGAATGCAGCCTATCCCTTCACTAGAGACCGGTGACATCACTGAGAATGCAGCCTATCCCTTCACTAGAGACCGGTGACATCACTGAGAATGCAGCCTATCCCTTCACTAGAGACCGGTGACATCACTGAGAATGCAGCCTATCCCTTCACTAGAGACCGGTGACATCACTGAGAATGCAGCCTATCCCTTCACTAGAGACCGGTGACATCACTGAGAATGCAGCCTATCCCTTCACTAGAGACCGGTGACATCACTGAGAATGCAGCCTATCCCTTCACTAGAGACCGGTGACATCACTGAGAATGCAGCCTATCCCTTCACTAGAGACCGGTGACATCACTGAGAATGCAGCCTATCCCTTCACTAGAGACCGGTGACATCACTGAGAATGCAGCCTATCCCTTCACTAGAGACCGGTGACATCACTGAGAATGCAGCCTATCCCTTCACTAGAGACCGGTGACATCACTGAGAATGCAGCCTATCCCTTCACTAGAGACCGGTGACATCACTGAGAATGCAGCCTATCCCTTCACTAGAGACCGGTGACATCACTGAGAATGCAGCCTATCCCTTCACTAGAGACCGGTGACATCACTGAGAATGCAGCCTATCCCTTCACTAGAGACCGGTGACATCACTGAGAATGCAGCCTATCCCTTCACTAGAGACCGGTGACATCACTGAGAATGCAGCCTATCCCTTCACTAGAGACCGGTGACATCACTGAGAATGCAGCCTATCCCTTCACTAGAGACCGGTGACATCACTGAGAATGCAGCCTATCCCTTCACTAGAGACCGGTGACATCACTGAGAATGCAGCCTATCCCTTCACTAGAGACCGGTGACATCACTGAGAATGCAGCCTATCCCTTCACTAGAGACCGGTGACATCACTGAGAATGCAGCCTATCCCTTCACTAGAGACCGGTGACATCACTGAGAATGCAGCCTATCCCTTCACTAGAGACCGGTGACATCACTGAGAATGCAGCCTATCCCTTCACTAGAGACCGGTGACATCACTGAGAATGCAGCCTATCCCTTCACTAGAGACCGGTGACATCACTGAGAATGCAGCCTATCCCTTCACTAGAGACCGGTGACATCACTGAGAATGCAGCCTATCCCTTCACTAGAGACCGGTGACATCACTGAGAATGCAGCCTATCCCTTCACTAGAGACCGGTGACATCACTGAGAATGCAGCCTATCCCTTCACTAGAGGCCGGTGACATCACTGAGAATGCAGCCTATCCCTTTTCTAGAGACCGGTGACATCACTGAGATTGTATCTTATGGCCTGTGTGTGTGGTCTTCAGCAGAAGCTTCTCTTGGGGTGGACGTTTTCTGAGGTGTGTGGCCTCCTCTGGCCTCACCTGCTGTGACCTGTGACCTCCACTTTCCCTCTGACTCTCATCCGGTTCTACAATGTTGATGTGATGTATGAATACAGCGCTCTATGTTCCTGTAATATAGTGATGTGTAGATAAAGACGTTCCTTCACCGGTCATACAAGGTACACGTATGGTGATATGTACATAGGACATTCCGTCCTGCCGGATGGTTGCAATGCTTTGACTTTCCCCTTCCCAGTGTTGAATGATGCCTAGAACTGCAAACTACAAGTGATGGGTGTCATGGACCCGCCCCCCTGAAAGGGCATCAGCACTGGCAGAGCGTTTATACAGACAGGTCACTGAGGAAAGCCCAGCACCAGGAGAAGATCCGAAGAGGAACCGGACCTTGCATGTCATGTGACCATCCTAGAGGCATCTAGAAAAGTCCGATCAAGGATTCTGCAAGTTCATGACATTCAGACGATGGGGCGGGAAGGATCACTGATCTTCCAATCATCATCTTTCATCGATCAGTGATCAATCTATAATCAATAGAAAAGGGAAACCATTGTTTGTTATCACTGAGAGCCGGCTTTTATTATAATGTTTCCCTGGAATGTAATGTATCTTCTATGACATGTGCAGATTTGTAGAGGAGCCACCAGAGGGCGCTCACACTCACTCTGCAATGACACCGCTCCTCTGCTTATCAGCTGCCGTGACCGGCCTCACCGGGAGAGCATTCTTTTCAGTGGGACGGCCGCCCCGCCGGTTGTATAGCAGGATGGGGAGACCGAGTGTGCAGTGTTCAAATATGGCTGCCGATGCCAAATTAAAAAATGGTACATAG